TTTCATCAAACGCTACGAGCAGCTTGCTTGGGTTCAAGCGGAAGCCGTGATCTTCCCGTTCGCTGCTTTCAACTCTAGCTTGGACGGGAGTTTCGTTTCGCTGTTGCAAACGGAGCCGCTCGAGTTCAATTTCGTGCTGCCGCTGCCGTTCCCTTTCAGCCATCTCCGCTTCTCTTTCTTCTTTCAGCTGGCGCTCCCTCGCTTCTCTTCTTCTCTCGCCCTTTCGGCTGCCAACTTCTCTCTCTCCAGCTCCAACTTCAATTGCTGCTCTCTTTCTTCCTTCAGCTGTCGCTCTTTTGCCTCTCTTTCTTCTTTCAGCTGTCGCTCCTTTGCTTCTCTTTCTTCTCTCGCCCTTTCAGCGGCCAGCCTTTCTCTCTCCAACTCAGCTGCCTTTTCTTCCTTGGCCCTCTCTGCCGCCAACCTCTCTCTCTCCACCTCGGCTTCTTTTTCCGCTTTGGCTCTTTCGACCGCCAACCTCTCTTTTTCCAGCTCGGCTGCTTTTTCTTCTTTGGCTCTCTCTTTTTCTTCTTTTTCCTTCTGGGTGACCCACTTCCGTAGTTCGGCGCCAGAAAGACCCATCTTTTCACCAAGAGCAACTAGCTTTTCGAGATCCATTGTGTCTCGCAACTCGCAAATACAACCTTGCCGCGTGCAAAAAGTATCTGCCTAAATCAGTCTATCGGAACACTCTCCTGCACTCGTTAACGAGAATGCTGAACAACACACAAAATCGTTCCGATAGCAGTATCAACAACTCGAGGCTCTTTCTCACTACTTTGGACACACTGTGCACCAAAAGGTCCTGTATCGCGGACGCCAGATTAATTCTCACACCTGTCCCGTTAATTAGGGAGGCGATCGCCGGGCTAATTCCAAGAGCCGAAGTATCGGCCCCCCGAACCGCACCACGAAAGCGTGGACAATTTAGAAGTGGTCCTTATTGGTGCGCCAGCGGACGCCGGCTGTGGTCCAAAGAACAAGTCAGAGCCGAGAGTTGATAAACAAACAAAATTGTATTCTCATTAACGGCAGATCGAAAACAATACACACGTATGCACACTCCACAATAGTTACATACAATACGTCACCAAACAGACAATGTACTACACAGTACAATCAACCACACTTGAAACAACGGACACAGACAACAATACGCACTACAATGCAGTCGCATGCATTGAACAACCAAGACACTTAAAGACTAAAGAGATATAAAACCTATTCAGTCCAAAGTCCTTGGAACAAAAGTCTGAATGATACTCTTCCGAGAATCACTCACTCAAAGTCCAGCGTTGTTGTCGTTCCGCAGCTCTCGAAGTCTCTTCCAGGAAACCTCCCGTCTTCAATTGGCCACTCTTCCAACTTCAACTTCTTCGCCGGAACACGTCGGCTTCACACTCGCAGCGGTTGCCACGCGTCTTCGCTCGATAGCGGTAAACACACACTCTTGCCTGTAGCTCGAGCCGTCCCTACGGACCACAAACTTCGCCGACTACACGGCGGACTCTCTACGCACTCTGGCGCTCACTTCCGTCTCCTCCTGTTCTGTCACTACGGGCAGAACCTTCGCCGACTACACGGCGGAATTCCTACGCGCTCCGGCGCTAACTTCCGTCTCCTCCTGATTTCTCGTCTCGGCTGCTCGGTTAAATACCTTGCGCGCGACTTTCCAGATCTTTCTCGTCATTTCGTCGGCGCGATACGCAGCGAAGGCTGGGGAGAGGCGAGACGGTTTGTCTGCCCTCCGCGTCGGATGACTCAGCTCGGTCTGACCCCGCCCCGTTCGTTCTCGAAAAATCGCGGTCTTGCTGGGCCGCCGATGTGGGGTGAGGAGGATCGTCTGCGAAGCCGTGCTTCTGCGGGGAGAGCGCGCGCCCGGGAGCCCTGGATGTTTGCTTTCTCTTTTTTTTTCTCTTTTTACCTCGCGGCGTTTCTGCCGCCCGTTGTCGCAAGGAATTGGCGGCGTGCTCTTGTTTAGCGCTCGTTCTGTGACAGCGGGGGCCGCTATCTTCGGCCGATTGCTATAGGCGGGTCAGCTTAACGGACAAACAGAATGCGTGTATTTGTTTTTTTAAGACGAAAGTCTTTCTTGGGGACCATCGACGTAAAAATTTTGGTCTGTCTTTCTGTCTGTCTTTACCATTGTCTGTTTGTACGCAATTAATGGTACCCTAAACGGCACCAAAGTGGTCAAACGATACTCAAACGGCCGACTCCATCTGCAGCGCCCACCAACTTATTGCTCAAGATTCAGTGTTCCTACTTCTGCGATCGTCAATTGAAAAAAAGTTATTGCGCATATCTGAGGCACTATACCAACACTTTAATATTCTCTACGTGTGTCTTTTCACTAGAAATGGCATGCATAAGTAATTCGAAGGACCGTATTGCATTTATCCCGCTGTCACGAAACGAGCGCTCGAAAAGGGCCGCCGCCAAATTCTCGCGACAAAGTGCCGGAGTGACGCCGCGAGGTCAACGATAAAAAAAGAAAACAAACATCCAAAGACTCCCCGGGCGTGCGTCTCTCTCCCTCGGAAGCGTAGGTTCACCGACGAAACCTGCTCGCATCGGCGGCAGAGCAAGCCCTAGAAAGTTCTCGATGGAAAGGGGCGTGGTGATGCAGGGTTGCATCATCTTTCGCGGACGGCCCTCGTACCGTCTCGCCCTTTCCCCAGCCTTCGCTGCGTATCACGCCGACGAAATGATGCGAACTTCCTGGAATCTCGCGCGGAAGGTATTTAATTGAGCAGCCGAGATGGGAGATCAGGAGAAGAAGGAAGTTAGCGCCAGTGTGCGTGGGGTTATTCCGCCGCGTCTGTCAGTGAAGGTTTTGTCCTTAGTGACAAAGCAGGAGAAGAAGAAAGTGTGCGCCAGAGTGCGTAGGGTGTTCCGCCTTGTGGGCGAAGCCTTTTGTCTTCCGTGGCAAAGAAGGAGAAGAAGAGGATTTCCACCTGAGGGGTGAAGACTCGAGCTACAGGCAGGAATGTGTGTCTACCGCTATCGAGCGAAGACGCGTGGCCACAGCTGCGTGTGTGAAGCCGACGTGTTTCCGGCGAAGAAGTTTGGAGCCTGGAGAGCGGCCAATTGAAGACGCGAGGTTTCCTGGAAGAGAAACTTCGGGGGCAGCGGAACGACAACAAGGCTGGACTTTGAGTGAGTGATTCTCGGAAGAGTATCATCCAGACTGTTGTTCCAAGGACTTTGGACTGAATAACGTTTCTAACTCTTTAGTCTTTAAGTGTCTTGGTTGTTCGATGCATGCGACTGCATTGTAGTGCGTATTGTTGTCTCTGTCCGTTGTTTCGAGTGTGGCTGATTGTACTGTGTAGTACGTTGTTTGATTGGTGACATTTTGTATTCAACTATTGTCGAGTGTGCATACTTGTGTATCGTTTTGATCTGCCATAACTGAGAATATAATTTTGTTTTGTTTATCAACTCTCGGCCCTGACTTGTTCTTTGGGCCACAGCCGGCGTCCGCTGGCGCGCCAAATAGGCCCACTTCTAAATTGTCCACGCTTTCGTGGTGCGGTTCGGGGGGCCAATACTTCGACCATTTGGATTAGCCCGGCAATCGCCTCCATAAATAACGGGACCTGTGACACCCGCTGCGCTGACCATGCAACGCTTGCACGAAAAAGCAAGTGTTTGCTACGCTTTGCTAAGATGACACGGTGGTGGCACCTACCCGTCACCTTGCGTTCTACACCTAATTACCTCAGAGATGGGCGCACATGCCACGCGCTTCGTTTTCGATGATAACTGTCAGATAGCGCTCATGTGTCATGTGTGACGTGACTTGATGCGCTCGGTCGCCTCCGCTGCACGCTCGAGGCACTCTAACGCAGAGCCTCCAGAATGCCATTCACCGAGTTTCTTGCGCAGAACATCAGATAAATGTTTTGTTCACTCTCTCCAGACGCAAGACTATCGTCTTTCGACGACATTTTCAGTGTAGCATGCAAATACGGGGCCAATTTTTTTATATTCATGTTATCACCCTGTGGGGCTTTACGTGATAAAACTGCTGTATGAATCCGAGGCATGATTGATTGATATGTGGGGTTTAACGTGCCAAAACCACCATATGATTATGAGAGACGCCGTAGTGGAGGGCTCCGGAAATTTTGACCACCTGGGGTTTTTTAACGTGCACCCAAGTCTGGGCACACGGGCCTACAACATTTCCGCCTCCATCGGAAATGCAGCCGCCGCAGGCGGGATTCGATCCCGCAACCTGCGGGTCAGCATCCGAGTACCTTAGTCACTAGACCACCGCGGCGGGGCAATCCGAGGCATGCTTCAGTGGAGGCCTTCCGAGATTTCAACCATCTGGTGTTTGTTCTTTAAGTTGCTCTGAGGTCACATGGTACATGAGCCCCACAGCCGCTAGCTACCCAACATATGGACGTTATTGCCACACACTGTACTAAAACTCAAGGAAAACTCCCTCCTGGCGTTGCATAAGTATCGCCATTTCCCACTAGCATTAGCTGACCATGCAGTGTCATTGGGGGGCACTAACGTACCAAAGTATTTTGCCAGCATAACAGCCGTTAAATACAGTCGTCAGTGACGTGCGATTATATAAGTCACGTCATACGCGACGTGTCGGCGATAGGAATTTCTGTTATTGCGCTCTCTAGGATATATGACAAAGTCATCACGAAACAGTGGTGGTGTTGGGACGTTAAACGCCACATATCAGACATCATCACGAAACAGTCCATGATACTGTCTACGATACAGACAATGCTATTCTGGCCTGTCATTATCGCATAGTGTCCGCCAGTGTCTGCTTGCCATCAATCATGACGTAATATAAACGACTGCAGGCCCTGTGCTGGTCGCCTCGATAGGTGATAACTGAGGTCTCGGTTTCATACGCTTCCTGTGAACGCGAGTGCAAAAAGAAAACAAAACCTAGCTCTTGCCTAGAAAACCAGTTGAAACTGTCAGAAGGGTCGTTCACGCTATGGGCACGCGTGGTTGCTCACCTGGTGGGCAGAGTTTTGAGGTAGGGCACGCCGCAATCCGCGAGGTCCGGCGGCCGTTGTGGCGTGGCGGGGGCCGGACCAAACATCGGTACGCTCAGTGCCCAAAGCAGGCCGCAGTGGCCTGCTGCGGCAAGGGCGATCCGGCCCGCCGCCATCATTGATCCACTTTGCTATTTTGTACTGATGACGATAATGGCCTAAATGAATGGCTCCCACCCACTCTGAACACTATGCGACAACACGTAAAAATTAGATGATGATGATGTTGAAGACGATGATTGTGGACAGCTTTCGACGTTAGAATACTAGTATGTGCATTACGCCTGCGCATTCTGAAAGGAGGCGATCGGGCGGGACTATTACTGGGCATCTTCCGAGGCTGGATCCGATTGCAACTAACAACGTCCAACTCCTCGTCCTTCTTTAGGTAACTTCGATCTTTCTCTGTGTATGACAAGGCCTGAAAAAAAATCACAGTATATTCATGGAGTGAATGATGAGTGGGGCGAAGCCTCCATCTGTCTGTCTGTCTGTCTGTCTGTCTGTTTGTCTGTCTGTCTGTCTGTCTGTCTGTCTGTCCGTCCGTCCGTCCGTCCGTCCGTCCGTCCGTCCGTCCGTCCGTCCGTCCGTCCATCCCTCCGTTCGTCCGTCCATCTAGCGAACACTCCAAGTACCGCCATCTCGCATCTTTTCATCATCATATATTCATCATATATACGTACCACTATCCAGCGGATATTCTAAGGACTAAGTAAGATGTGGCTACTACTACATACAAGGGACGTACGATTCACGGCGTAAGGAGCTTCGCCCCTAAAAGGGAACAGAAGCTGAAAGGAATGTAGCCACTAACATTCTAATTGGTGTAGGTTCTTTATATATATATATATATATATATATATATATATATATATATATATATATATATATATATATATATATATATATATATATAGTATAGGTAGAGCCAATTCAGTGGATTCTGTGCACAACAAACTTGATACGCGCATTTTGAGTGTGGCACGTTGAAATCTTTGCTCCATGGTTTCAGACATAATTTTCTTTAGCAGCGATGCTCTATATGTCTCGGCGAATCTAAATCTCGTCTGTCACATCAGTGCTAAAACTCTTAGCGAGTAAAACATCGGCCCCGTAAGTGCATGTTACACTGCAAATGTCGTCAAAAGACGATAGTCTTCTGTCTGGAGAGAGTGAACAAAACGTTTATTTGATGTTCTGCGCAAGAAAATCGGCGAATGGTAATCTGGATGTGCTGCGTAAGAGTGCCTCGAGCGTGCAGCGGAGGCGAACGAGCGCATCAAGTCATGTCAGACGTGAGACATGGGCGCTATCTGGCAGTTATCTTTGAAAACGAAGCGCGCGTGCCCTGCCCGCCTGTCTCGGAGGTGATAAGGTGTAGAACGCAAGGCGACGGGTAGGTGCCACCCCCATGTCATCTTAGCAAAGCGTTGGAAACACTTGCCTTTTGCATGTTCAGCGCAACGTGATTAACGCTACGGTCCTTAAAATTACTTATGTATGCCTTTTCTAGTAAGAGAACCACATATAGAATAATAATGTGTTGTGATAGTGCCTCAGATGTGCGCAATAATTGCTTTTTAATTGACAATCACACAAGTATGAACGCTGAACCTTGGACTGTACTGGTGGGCGCTGCGGATGGGGTTGGCCGTTTGGAGTAACGTCTGGTGCCGTTTAGGGTACCGTTAAGGGTGGACAAACAGACAGACAGACAGACCAAAATTTTTGCGTTGAAGGTCCCCCAAAAATACTATCGTCTTTAAAAGGGAGAATCGTCCAATCGTTCGAGGGGCTCGTATACACAGATGATTGAAACAACAGAAAGCTAAGCCAAGGGACGAATAGGGGACATTACTTGTGTTTTCTTATCTGTAGTGTAATTATGCTCACTTAAATTGTTACCTTAGGGTGTATGTTCTGCAGAAATTGGCTAAGTCGCATTACTCTCCAGTCTCCACTGGTCTGCCAAAAAAAGAAGGGAACACACGGGCGAGAAACTCCAGTTAAGATTCCTAATCAGACACAACTAGTATTTGAGGAAGACTTAAGTGAACCACCGGGGATGAGCAGTTTTAGCTTTGCCTATTAACCAGCTGTGTGGAGATCGGTCGGTGATTTTATTTTTGCCGTGATTTACCACAAGACTTGGCACAGAGCGGGGAGGGTGAAATGATAGAGATGGTGCAGGGGCAGTTTAACTACACTTATAATAATAAAAATTAGAAAGACATTTTCATGTTTTTTTATGTGTGACATCTGTTTTTGACGTCTTGTCGCATAGTGTTGAGAGTAAACCACATCCAGTGTGAACACCTCATTGGTATTCAAGCTGGTATAAGCTGAAAGTTTAGGGTACTTAACGATGTAAACGTCCATTATCCCACCAGAATCCTTCAATGACCCTACTGTCACAGAACGAGCGCTAAAAAAAGAGCGCGCCGCCAAATCCTTGCGACAACGGGCGGCAGAAACGCCGCGAGGTAAAAAGAAAAAAAAAGAAAGCAAACATCCAGGGCTCCCGGGCGCGCGCTCTCCCCGCAGAAGCACGGCTTCGCAGACGATCCTCCTCACCCCACATCGGCGGCCCAGCAAGACCGCGATTTTTCTAGAACGAAGGAGGCGGGGTCAGACCGAGTGAATCATCCTCCGGAGAGGGCAGTCGAACCGTCTCGTGCCTCTCCCCAGCCTTCGCTGCGTATCGCGCCGACGAAATGACGAGAAACATCTGGAAAGTCGCGCGCAAGGTATTTAACCGAGCAGCCGAGACGAGAAATCAGGAGAAGACGGAAAGTTAGCGCCGGAGCGCGTAGGAATTCCGCCGTGGAGTCGGCGAAGGTTCTGCCCGTAGTGACAGAACAGGAGGAGACGGAAGTGAGCGCCAGAGTGCGTAGAGAGTCCGCCGTGTAGTCGGCGAGGTTTTTGGTCCGTAGGGACGAGGCCGGAGATGAAGAGGATTTACACCTGAGGGGTGACGGCTCGAGCTACAGGCAAGAGCGTGGGTTTACCGCTATCGAGCGAAGACGCGGGCAACAGCTGCGTGTGGGAAGCCGACGGATTTCCGGCGAAGAAGCTTGAAGCTTGGAGAGTGGCCATTTGAGGACGCGAGGTTTCCTGGAAGAGAAACTTCGAGAACTACGGAACGACAACAACGCTGGACTTTGAGTGAGTGATTCTCGGAAGAGTATCATTCAGACTTTTGTTCCAAGGACTTTGGACTGAACAGGTTTTCTATCTCTTTAGTCCTTAAGTGTCTTGGTTGTTCAATGCATGCGACCGCATTGTAGTGCGTATTGTTGTCTGTGTCCGTTGTTTTGAGTGTGGCTGATTGTACTGTGTAGTACGTTGTCTGATTGGTGACGTATTGTACGTAACTACTGTGGAGTGTGCATTCGTGTGTATTGTGTTTTGATCTGCCATTTTTGAGAATATAATATTTGTTTTGTTTATCAACTCTCGGCTCTGACTTGTTCTTTGGGCCACAGCCGGCGTCCGCTGGCGCACCAAAAAGGACCACTTCTATATTGTCAACGCTTTCGTGGTGCGGTTCGGGGGGCCGATACTTCGGCTCTTGGAATTAGCCCGGTGATTGCCTCCCTAATAAACGGGACATGTGTGACAATTAATCTGGCGTCCGCGACCCAGGACCTTTTGGTGCACAGTGTGTCCAAAGTAGTGAGAAAGAGCCTCGAGTTGTTGATAGTGCTATCGGAACGATTTTGTGTGTTGTTCAGTGTTCTCGTTAACGAGTGCAGGAGAGTGTTCCGATAGACTGATTTAGGCAGATACATTTTGCACGCGGCAAGGTTTTATTTGCGAGTTGTGAGACACAATGGATTTCGAAAAGTTAGTTGCGCTTGGTGAGAAGATGGGTCTTTCTGGCGTCGAACTACGGAAGTGGGTCACCCAGAAGGAAAAAGAAGAAAAAGAGAGAGCCAAAGAAGAAAAAGCAGCCGAGCTGGAAAAAGAGAGGTTGGCGGTCGAAAGAGCCAAAGCGGAAAAAGAAGCTGAGGTGGAGAGAGAGAGGTTGGCGGCAGAGAGGGCCAAGGAAGAAAAGGCAGCTGAGTTGGAGAGAGAAAGGCTGGCCGCTGAAAGGGCGAGAGAAGAAAGAGAAGCAAAGGAGCGACAGCTGAAAGAAGAAAGAGAGGCAAAAGAGCGACAGCTGAAGGAAGAAGGAGAGCAGCAATTGAAGTTGGAGCTGGAGCGAGAAATGTTGGCAGCCGAAAGGGCGAGAGAAGAAAGAGAGGCAAAAGAGCGCCAGCTGAAAGAAGAAAGAGAGGAAAGGGAGGGGCAGCGGCAGCACGAGATGGAACTCGAGCGGCTCCGTTTGCAACAGCGAAGTGAAACTCCCGCCCAAGCTAGAGTTGAAAGCAGCGAACGGGAAGATCACGGCTTCCGCTTGAACCCAAGCAAGCTGCTCGTAGCGTTTGATGAAAGGAAGGACGACATTGACGCGTACCTTCACCGATTTGAGACGATTGCGAAGAGCCAGAATTGGCCGGAACATCAATGGGCAACTGCTTTGAGTACTTGCTTGAGTGGTGAAGCGCTCAGTGTGTACGGCAGGCTGACGCCGACCGATGCAGCCAACTATGCAAAGGTGAAAGCTGCTTTGCTGAAGCGATTTAGATTTACCGTGGAAGGATTCCGGGACAGATTTCGGACAGGAAAGCCAGCTGATGGTGAGACAGCTACGCAGTATGCTGCCCGACTTTGCCACTATTTCGACAGATGGATTGAACTTTCAGGGACAGCACAGGAGTACGATGAGCTTAGAGAGCTGCTAATTAAAGAACAATTCCTTACTAGTTGCCACCCAAGCCTGTCGCTGTATTTGAAAGAGAGGAAGGCGGAGTCATTTGAAGGAATGCTTGAATTAGCTGATCAATTTTTGGAAGCGCAAGGTGGCACTAATTTGGCCAAGGTAAAGAAGGAGTGTCCCGACGATTCGAAGAAATTGGCTCCCGAAGAAAAGAAGCGTGCACCAGAGAGCATTCCGCGATGTTTTCTGTGCAACCGAGTGGGTCATCGCGCGAAAAACTGTCGAACGATCTTTACGAGCCCTACGGTAGTAAAATGTTTTAAGTGTGGTCAGACTGGGCACAAAGCAGATGCA